TGCTCCTAATTTGTTCTTAGATCGTAAAAATACACCTTTATATTCTCATTGTGTACATATATTTTTGAATGCTTTAACTAGCACCAATTCTTTCTCACTTGGACATTTTTGAAAAAATTTCCGTCAAAAATTAAGAAAAAAAGCGAGTTAATAACTTTTTTGCAAGAAAAGTGATAGTTAATGATTCCAAAATGTGTATTTTTGCTTAAATAGTTTACCATAGCAACTGAACAGGGGAACCTCGAAGATTGTAACATTTTTTATTGTAATTATCATACGGTATCAGTTCTAATTTCATCTCTGCTAGCAAATGGTTCGTTCAATTGATACTATTTTCCTCCTAAATTCTCCAGTTTTGACCAAATTTTCTTGTAAAATGTGTTCAATAGCGAAAACATGTTTTAAACAGAAAGCAAGAATAACGTTAAAACATGGAAAAACTCTACGGAAAATCTTGAAAGTTATGTTGCAGAAGCAACAGAGATAATCATCAGTTATGAAGAAGTGTTTGTTGAATTTGAGCAAATATCGAATAAATTTTTCAGAAACATTTATCCCTTTTTAAACAATTTTAGCAATAAACTGTTCATTTTTTATCAATAATCAGAAATTTCTACTTTTTAACATGAAAAATTTGCCACAAGTTGTAATTTTTGTACAAATTTGGGTAATTCAATGAGAAAAAAATGAGGAGGAGTTGAATCATGGAGTTTGATAGTTTGAAATTTCATAGGATATTGCCCTTAATGTTCATTTGAATTGAGATTACTAAAAATAATCCCTGATTTGGACAAAAAATACAGTTAAAAACCAAAATAAAAGGTTCGAAATGGAAAATTTTATTTAAATTTGATTAATTTTTATTTTACCTTCTCGAAAATTACGACTAATTTCACTGTTTTCCTGAAGTTTCAATATTGATTCTGCTATTATGAACCTTGTTTTCAGTGTTTAGAGCATTGTATAACCAAATATTTAGCTCAAATTAAGGTAAACTTCATCGTATTTCAATATTTTGAGAAAAAAATGTTGAAAAAGTCATTTTTTTATTCAAAATTTTGTATCATTGTCTCAACATAATGCCAATTAACATATAGTCTTAGCTTATTTTTAAAATCTATAAGTAAAAGTATGTTCAAAATTAGATCAAAAGCAACAACACAATAGCCAAAATTATGAGATTTCTGCAATTTTTTCCAAATACTTGAAAATTTGCAATTTTTTCCAAATACTTGAAACTTTTGCAATTTTGTCTCAAAAAATTTGAATTTTTCCAAGTTTCTGCAGGTTTCAGCCTTGTTTCAATTAGATAGAAAGTAAGATTATTGTTTCATTTAGATAGAAAGTAGGATTATCTAATAAATTTGGTCAAATAATAGCTAATCTTATCGTGTTTTGAATTTTTTCGAAAAAATTTTTTTGATAAAAATTCCAAGTTTTCGCACAAAAACTCTTACCATTGACTTACCATGCACCAAAAAACTAAAGACATAACCTTTCTTCTACAATATACACGTAATTAACAACTAATTGTTCCCAATTAGGTAACGCGCGCCGAGATTTTTGCGAAAAAATTACACAAAAACCAAAAAATTTTCGTTTTTCTTTCTCTTAGCATCACACTGAAACCTTACCATTGGTATTCCCTATCTTAATACATTGTAGACTCTATACCCAATCTTAATACATAGCTGGCGGACCGGATGCTCTATTCCCTATCCTAATACATGGGGGTCCGCCTCCTCCCCCCCACTTAACCTCCAACATCTACTACTAATATGGATCCTAACGATACCCGATTGACCAACCAGAACACACATGTGTGTCCTTCTCTGGTTGTTCTGAAGCGCTGGTTGTCTCCTTGGCTTTTCTAGCACCTCTCACCAGCACCACTTTCCCATTTGGCTGGTCACCTGTTCCAGAAAAGTCTCCCAGTGGTCCGTCGATTGACCAAAACAGAACACCCCTGTGTGCCTCCTCTGTTCGGTCCCGTCTGTGCTGGATGTCTCTTTGTCGTGTCCAGCACTTGTCGGTTTCTCTTCCTGTGAACCACTTTCCTACTCGGCTGGTCAACTTTTCTAGTCAAGTCTCCTAGTGGTCCAGCTAAGTGGCAAGCTATCTGAAAACCCTTAACAACGCCCCACACTCGGGCACCTTATTAAATTGCCGAATTGATCGAAACGATCGGTCCTATAAAAACAGCATGGGAAAACTATTTAATTAAAATAAAGGTTTGATCCAACTAATCCGGCATCAAAGTCACTGTCCTTTTTCGTTTATCGTTTTGTTTCTTTTTCTATTCTTTTTCGGTTTTTGTTTCGCTTCTTGTCTTTTTTCTCGTTTTTTGTCCCCCTAGTTACGCCCCCCCCCTCACACGGTTAGCTAGGCCTCGTTCGGAGAGCTTACCAGGAAGTTTTCTCGAGTTTTCTTAAAAAGCTATCACGGTACGACCGGAAGGCTTACACGTTCCCGCCGAACCGTACCACAGGTACTCTAGAATGGGTATGTAGACCGGAGCTGTGTCAAGTGGGTTCGACTCAGTAGTCTTGATGTCGTAAAAAAAATCAGGAGCGCCATAAAAACACTACGTAACAGTCGCCTACTTAAGTCACATATGAGATTAAAGAAAAATAGGCCCTACAACCATTGACTCAAGAGTCAGGGACACTATCTCTTGTGTTTTTCTACCTCGAACGGTCGGAGCCAATTAGGTTCACTTGCGACATGAGACTAAAACACTCGTCAGAGCTTAAAGGCCACTACCAAAATATCCCCCCACTCTAGAAAATAAAAACGTCCCCATACTTAGTTCTCTAAATACCCAAAATACGCGAACGCCGTTAAAAACAGGGTCCGTACAGTTACTTTTTATTGTGGAACTTTACTTCCACTTTACTGTGGTTACTTTTTTATATACGACAGTGGAACTTTGATCCATTTCAGATGGATCAACCTAAAACTCTCCCTACCTCAACATAAGAAGTATAAAACACACTCAAGAAAACTAAATTGGGTACTCACATACCAGCACACTCGAGAATTGGAGCAACTAAATTAATCAACAACTCTAGCATTAAAGGTAATTAAGTTTTAACTCAAGAGGTTTGTAATTAACGAACTCCAGCAAAGGAAATGAGTTTTAACTTGAGAAAAAAGTTTTTGGGGCTGGACCATTGGGAGACTTCGGTTGTCCACCTTTCTACCGAAGGTTCGCTCTGGTCTGCTTCTAATTAATATCTTCTTCTTTCGGAATCGTTCAGTGTCCTATTTCAGGGTAAGACAGCTCTTCTCTAGTGTTATTTTTATGTCTGGAAATTGCGAATTGCTTTTTCAACCACTTTCCCGCGATTGTAGTTCGATTGTTCTGATCTCTTTTTTCTGAGATTTTCAGTTGTCGCGAGAAAGTTGAGCTTGACATATTCAATTCGAATTTTTGAAAAATTTCATTTCACCCCAAAACCACGTTGTTCGTATTGCTCAAGGTCAAGCCTCCAAATATGACCGACTGGCACAGACTAGCGGACGTCAAGTATTTTTTTTATTCGTGTCTTTTACCGTCTCAGCCTAGCTAGTTGAATTTTAGTATGTTTAAGGGTCAACAAGTTACAACAATTAGGCTAGCAGCCGAACTACTCTTATTTTCCTTTGCACTATGTGCAAATGTTACCTTCATAGCTGTTTCTAGCTGAACAAAGTTAAACTGTAGTATATTACCATATCTCGCAAGTGTTGTGACCTTTCGTATTCCAGATATTAAAAACGAGCGCGCGAATTTAGAGAATAAGTAGGATTTTTTTTCAACCAAAGTTGCAGATCGAAAAAAAGTGCTCATTTTCGTTTTGCTGCTCTAGCATAGAAAGTTTAATAGCATCTGCTAATAGCTTATTGATGGCTAGTTCTAGTCTTTAGCTGAATGGAACTTGCCAGCCGAGTTTTTCAAAGTCTGTCAGTTTTTTCATGAGAAGCACATTTTATTGCAAAGTTTTATGCAACGGTTAGGCTTTAAAGCATTTGGCTGTTGATCAATGGCATCGTTACGAATTCGTTAGCGTGTTTTGCAGTTTCGTGGCTTAATTCGTAAATTAAAGATATTTGAGTTGGAAATGAGGTGTTGTTTATGAGATTAAATTTAAAAAACAAACTTGAATCGGTCTCAATTTTTTTTCTAATCAGCCCATCCTCTTCTTTTCCGATAGCTATTGAAAGAAAAAAAACGTGTGTTGTTATCTATAATAATCAGTCTTCAATATCACAAATAGTGGAAAAAAGCAGAAAAGGTAGATTGGAATTTTTATTGGAAACTGAAATGGGTGGTCTGAAAAAAAATGCAGACCAATGCTGACCAAAAATCGCCTGAAAGTTTGTTTTCCGTACAATACCACAATCGAGTGACAAAGAGCATCTCTGAAATTATCTAAATCAGAATTAAAAGTCTTCTGGTTCCGTTTATTTTTTTTTCTGAGAAATTATATGGAAACGATAGTGCCCCTTTTAATGCTTTAATCTGGCTCTCTGGAATGCAAACGTTTATGCATTGCTGTGCATACATGTTACCATTGCTCAAATCAAGAAAAGACGAAATTTGAACAAACACATTCATATTCTACGCTATCAGAATTGCGTTATTTTGTCAAATTTAGCAATTGTCAGGCTTCTTAGATTTTTGGCTCGCGTTTCATTGCATTAGAAATTTGAAAACGTGTTTGAGTACATATACAAATTTTATACATAAAATAAAATTACATTTTGGTCTTTACAAAAGGAAACGCATTCAAAGATACGATCTTAGCATATAGTTGAATTCTTCATCTCGAAAGCAATGTTGCATGTTTTATGACTGGCTTAACTTAACACGTGCCTGATAAGTTTGTAAAATGGTATTATAGCAAGTTTGGTAAGCGACGTTATCTGAAAAAAAAAAACGCCACGCAAAATCAAATCTGGAAAGCAACGTTGCATCTATTATGACTGGCTTAACTTAACACGTGCCTGATAAGTTTGTAAGATGGTATTATAGCAAGTTTGGTAAGCGACGTTATCTGAAAAAAAAAACGCCACGCAAAATCAAAGAACAAACGTTAAAACGAGTGAGCAGACATAGTTTACAACATTACACTTGCATCTTGAAATGTCTTTACCTGTTTCCAATAAAAAAGTTCCAGCGACAAGGATTGTGGACAAAGATCTTGATCAGCTCGCAACAGCGGTTTCGAATGTACTTGAGAACCTGGAACGGATCAGGTGAGCGGATCATGTTTCTGATATTTGAGCAGTTACGAATAATTATTAAAATTTTTTATTGTAAATAAATAAAATCAAAAAAAAAGGTAGGCAGTCTGTTTTTTGTAGGACTAAGTTCCAATTAACTCTCAATTTATTTCTTAGAAAATTGAGACTAGAATTGTAAAAGGTTTCATGGTTTGTGTGATGGTACGAGAATGGAAAGAAAAACGGTATTTTTTTTAGGTTTTTCCCGTGGAAATGTTTTTTTTTGTCTAAAATTTTGGCGAGCATTATCCAGGTGGTACGTGTAGGTTGAAGGATGAAGGTATCCTGTTCTCGTTTTTTTTAATTCATGGTAAGTCAATGTTAAGAATTTTTGGGTAAAAATTGAGATTTTTATCAAAGATATTGAATTTTTTTTCTGAAAACTTTCAAAACACGTTAATATTTGGTATAAATTAACCTAAAAATTTTTTATTAGATGATCTTACTCTTTGAAACAATGCTCTAATTTTCTGAAACTTTGCTAAAAACTTAACGAAACGCAGCTGAATTTTCTGATTACTCGAGAAAATTGTCAAAAATGATGAATGTTTTTTTGTCCAACAATCTAATTTGCTCTACATTTTCATCTGTTCTAGTCCTCAATGATTCTTGTTATATTTCAAAAAACTATTTTTACAGCAGAGCCTTGTAGTAGGTTTAGTTTGGTAATTTATATAAGTATACAACTTGAACTCACTTTCTTGGTTCCTGCTTAATCTTCGCTTCTCCAACAAAATGTGTTTGCACAAAATTTAACACTGAAAAGACAATTTATTGGAAAAATTGTATCAATTAACTAATCATTCTCGTCTCCGAATTAAATTTAGGGAAAATCTGTATAAAAACTCAAAATTTTCCACAATTTCAGTTAGCTCATATGACAATAGAAACAAAAATCTGATAACCTAAAATCAAGAACGTTTAAAAAAGATCACGAAGAATTATTATTATTTTCCTTATTTTTTTCTCTCTGAACTTTATATTTTTGGTTTTTGTTTGACCTACTTTCTTCAAATTTGAGCGTTATCGAGTCCAAATTGAATAAAATTTTGCCCAAATTTCGAAATTTAGATGGAGAATTGTATTGTTTCAAGGAACGTTCACTAATCCAAAGCAAATTTAGCGTCAAAATTGCTTTTTTTCTAAGAAAATTAAGAAACAGATAAGTGTATAATCTTCTTTGTTCCCTTATATATTTTGAGGTGCCTTTTAGTTCTTAGTTAAAAAACTTTTTTTATTGAAAGTTCTAGCATAAAAGATCCCAATTTTTCTTTTTTTTGTCAAATAATTGAAAAATTTCTGAACTCATTGGAAAATTAACTGCCTAAGAACGCGGTACACCAGGAACACAATCGAAGACAACAATTTAAGAAAGTTATAAAATGATAGCTGAGCAATGCAATTTAATACTTTTACTGTACTTCCAAATCAGAAACCATGTAAGCAAACCACCATAGCTCACAGCCTAGAATAAAAATTTTGGGATCGATTTCTATTTTGAGGTTCACGATAATTTGGACTCGATTGCTACTGGTCTCATCATCACTCAGAACCTTTAAACAAAAGCAACATCATCAAAATTTTATTGACTTCTAGATTTTTTGTGACTCAGCGAAAACTTTTAAGGTAACTTTTCCTATGTTTGATTTTGCATGTTTTTAATTCTTTCTTTTCGTGAAGTGTGTTTGATGATTGCTGACTGTGTTTTCAATCAGAAAATGATTTTGACAAGAAAAATGCTGCTACTTATCTAAATACTTGGTTCCTTGCTGCTATATGTAAGAAAATTACAATTCGGACTTTTCAAAACTTCATAGGTTTTACGATATATTGAGACATTTTTACGTGTTTAGTTTCTACCACACTCAAGACATGCAACTCTTTCGTTTCTATTTCAAGTCTCAAAAAGTAAAGAAAAAAATTGAAATCAAATGGGAGATTTTAAAAGTCCCAAAAATTTTAGTAGGAGACTTGAGTGGCCCCAAAGTATAAATAAAAGTAAATAAAAACGTTAATTTTTTGACCAATTGTTTGTGAAAGAATGTGAAAGAAAATCAGAGTGGGTTTCATTCTATTTGGTGTGTCTGAAATAAAAATCAACCAATCGGAGTGCAATCGTCAAATTTTCAGAAATTTTGATTTTACTTATCACAACACTTTCAACAGTTTCAATATCAGCCAATCAGAATCAAGCTTTACTTATCAGAGAACTTCCAACAGTTTCGACATCAACCAGTCAGAATCGTGCTTTATTTTTATCGAACGTTCAAGAGTTTTGATATCAAGCAATCAGTTCGAAGCCTTACTTACAAAGATAGTTTCATACGTTTCAAAAATGATCAACTAAAATCCATTTTCTTTTAATGATGGTTTTTTATACCTTTTTGATATCAAACTGTCCGAATTGAGCATTCCATCTTCTGAAAGCTTTGATCATACTAATTTTTGAAGAAATATTCACAGGTATGAGTTTTATCAAAATTAATTAGTAAAAAAATGTGAAAGCAATTTCAAAATCAGTCATATTCACTCACTCAAAACTTTTATTTTTCCCGTCTTTTTGTTTTTATATGGTTTTCACTTGGTTTTCACAAGTATCAGCAACAACTGCTTCTATTTAATTTTTTTTTGAAATTTTCATCTTCTTTAAATATTTTTTGATTAAGACTTCCAATAAATGGAACTGTTTTTTTTTTTCTAATTAACATCTAACTTGTTGTGATGTAACCAAACAAAATCTCAAATTATGAAAAGAATGCAAAACAATCAATGAAATAAAGGCAATTGTTACGTTTTCCAACTAAAATTACACTCTTGTTTCCATTATTGAAAAAATCTGACAAATGTTGAATAAAAATAGCAGTAGAACAATTTTTCAGCATTTTTTAAACAAATTATTGAAAAGCAACTAATATTTGAGTTAGGTACCTAGTCAATTTCGATTATATTGAATGTTCTTTGAGAATTGTTCCTTCTATTTTTAGCTCTAAACAAACTCTCAGTGCGGAAAAATAGATTTAACTAAAGTTATCTCCTTTACCAAACAAAAAAAATCACATAGCTTTACAGTTATGAACAAACCTAAGGTCTACCAAGACTTGGGTGAGCTTAATTTTCTTTCATTGAATGTAAAATTTTCATAGGCAACTTGCTTCAAGTCTCCGTTTTGCTTTGCAGTGAAGAGTCGAATCTTAATGCAATGTGGCTCGTTCACAATGTACGTCTTGATTGTGACACACACGCTCCGCATGTCGTATGTTTTTTTATTTCGTATATTCTATTACAAATGTCGGCACCTGATTCATAACTGTTTCTTTGCCAGATTTGGCTTCATTTATAGGTTCGGGTTCAATATTTTCAGCATCATGAACAACAGTATTTCGCATTGCTGATATCTTCTCTACTTCTTTTTCTCCAAGATAGTCTTCCTGGGGTTTTTTGAACGGTCCTGATTCATTTTCTTTAGCAAGCGAAAGCAAGGGTTCAAAATGGTGTTTCACCTTGAAGGATTTCTGGGAACAAGAAAATCTCACTGTTCTTGTTTGATTCGTCAGAAATTTATTGAAACCGGGACTTGTGTCTTATCTGGAGAATACTTTTGATAAGCAAACTGATCAAATGCGGAGACCTGAGAAGATTTTTTTTTCAGATTGAACGAAACTGGAAATAAAGACTATGAGTCATCATGGTTTTCATAAATGGATGGTATACCAATTACGGAATGTTTTGTGTGAGACTTTCATAGATAGAAACTGCGTAGGCCTTACTTCTTTTGTATGAATCCACAATTCTTGAGAACAGTCATTGTTCCAGATCGCAGCTGCTATGTGTCAAGCGATATCCGAATTTTATTCAGAATATAATAAAAAATCACTACTTATTTCTGTTCCGAACGAGTTTTATGAAAAATGCATAGAAATGCAAGATTAATGCGTAACTTCTTCTATCTTTATTGAATTCTTGGAGGGTTGCAAGTTCCATTTGAAATTAAGAGTGAGCTCTCTTAAAAAGACTCTTTAAAAACTAGATAAATATAAAAACAATTATCAAGAAATTGTCTGTCTCTTCTTTTTGTACAAACACAGATTTAAACAAGCATTATTGCATCGAGCGGAGAATGATTCAGTCAACGTAGTAGACCAATTCAAATTAAATTGAAACGGTAGAGAGCACAAATAACATCAAGCATTGCAAGGAAAAGACACCGGAAGCATTGCAAGGAATTTTCACAGGAAAAAAAAAAATTCAAAATTCATAATAGGAACTTGATTCGTTGAAAAAAATTGATTGTTTCTCTGATGATTAATGCTTCTGTACATGCTGAGTTTGTAATCTGCATGATGAAAAATAATCCTAATTTAATTGTTCTTTTGGTTGCTTACATTGTCAAATCGTTATAAAACAAGATTTTGTTCAGGAAAATTTAATTCAAAAAAAAGAAAACAACTAAAAATTTTACAATTGTGTCGAACAAAAAAATTACTATTTGAAAAATTATTTAAGTCAGTTTTTGAGTGCGTTTTCACTCTCTTCTTCTCGTGCCACACCATCTTTTCTTCGCAACAGATATATTTTTTCCTGTTGAATCATTTTTGTTTGTTTCATGTACCTTTCATCACGAATTGTTTCATCTGTTTGACAGTCTTGGGGAATAAAACAATTCTTTGTATCAAAACAGTTACTTCTAGTAAATGATCACTTGTAAGCAAACGCAAACTGTTTCTATATCCCAGATCGGCAAATTCATCTTTTTTTTCATTTGAATTATATGAAAACCCATACTTCTTCCTTGAAAGTGATTTAGGCATGGCTTACTTTTTTCGAATTTTCCTGATTCTTTTCTCTCGATTTCTCTTCATTCCAAAAGCCCTATGATTTTTTCTCTCTAGACTGGGATATTTCAATAGATTTGAGAATGTTGGTACACCAGGAACCAACTTCAAACTCGATGCAGTAGTTGTTTCCTTCTTTTA